ACCAATAGGGTTCCAACCAGCTGAATACTCAGGTCCATTACCAATCCCTCCTCTCTTAGCCCTCCTAATGCCTACACAAAGATCTCCATTCTCAGCTCTCATGAAGACAATAGAATCTCCAGCCACAAGCTTCTTCTGATTCACAAAGTTACTCCACCCTGTAGTCAGGAGATGCCGGCGCGGCGTCCCTCTATAAATATGTCTAAACTTCCATACATCTCCATGAACATCTTTGGCGAGAATGGTCTGAACAGGCGGCTCAGCGTTATAATCCAACCTCGGGAAGATTGTCTCCGCGCAGTAGCGCGGGACAGAGAATCCTCCCCCGTTGTTAGCATCAGACTGAGTCAGAGTCTTAGCAAAGGACGGTGTCTTCTCGCTGTTACTCTCGAAACCATCACTTTCTTGAACATCTCCATACTCATGATCGTCATCTTTCAATGGAACTAGCCTTAGTTTGGCGAAAACCTCGTCGGATTCATGATCAGCCATGTACTTGATGGCCAAGACACGACATAAAACCATGGGAGGGATAGGTAGGTTCTTGAAATCGACGTGGTCGTAAGCGTTTTCGGCGTGTCCTTGAGGGAAGTAAAAGACTTTTGAGTTCATAGGTGGCATACGGACCATGCCACCAGCACATGCATGCCATAGTTGTGGATCTAAACCTTTCTCTGATCCGGTTTTCATCGGATCCATTACATTTATCATTTCTTCAAATGTAGTAATAATACCTACAAATGAGAATCAAAAAATTAAATAAAAGGATTAGTCTCTGTTTTAAACAGACAAGACACAACACAACAGCATATGCTTTTTTATTTGAAGTACTTTAACATGTACTTAAGAACCTTTTCAGTCATTTGAATCAGTCAACTCTATACCTAACAAACGAGATTTTCCCGGAAAAAAAAAGTTTCCTGAAAATCCGACCAGAGGGTTATGTTCCAGATAGATTCGGTATATGATTAGCAAGAAAACTTCAGATAAATCAATAAGAGATTAATAAACAGTTCAAGTTTAAAAGCCTGCATAAAGCAAGAAAGTCACAGATCGGTGACCTTGAGAAGAACTGAAACAGTAAACTTCTTGGAAAGTTGAGAGAAGGATTTGATCAATAAAGCTAATTAAATCGAAACATAACATGGAACTGGTTAAAATTTTAATAAAGATGAAATTCATACAAGGATTTGATCAAACAGAGAAGATTTAAGACAGGAGTAAAAGACTTTTTGTTCAAACCTGGAACTGTAGTAGTAGATCTGAGGCAAGTTATTGAAGATTCTGTTTTAAAACCCTTTCTTGGTTTTTTTTAGGAATCTGAAGATTCTGCAGCTAAGTTTCTGCTTCAGAATCGGATAAGAGAAGTTCACTTTTGTTGTACAAAGAGAAATGAAAAGAGGTCGTGTATATGAAGGAGAAAGGTTTGGCTTTCTGGAAAATAAAATAAAATAAATAAATATCATCTCTTTTTATTCAACTTTCATTAACTCATTCACATGTTGTGATTTTAATCCACATTAAAAATGTAATGTTTTAAAAAAAAATATTTAAATTACGCCCCAAATATGGTAACAATTTGGTAAGTCAAACCCTTGATTCCGGGCATAAAAATCGACAATACGGAGTGTAAAAAAAATATTATAAAATTTGGATATATAACGAAAAATATCGACATACGAGTAAAGAGTTAAATCGCGCACGTGACGGATCCGCACGTGTCGTCGGTGCTTCCGACATATCTCCTTGAAATCTGATTAGAAGCATCTAATTACTTAACTATTCGAATTTTTATTTTACTAACTCAGCCATTAATTGTTATTTGAATTTACTAATGTTAACAGTGTGATAATCCCAATGTCATTTAATTTTTAACTTATTGTTTACGAAACACGATAGTTTGTTGATGATATCCATGTTAGCAATTTGCTGTCGCTGACCATGGTTAATTGGTTATTAAGACCACTCTGTTCAAAGGGTAATAAAAAGCTTTTTTAAAAAAATACAGTCATACTTTGGTTTTAATGTTACTATTTACAAAACTGTCTGAAATACAGTATGTATCAATCAGCATGTCATAAGACTCATAACCCACATATACGACTTATTTTCTGCTTATACAGTCATACAGTTTCAAGAATAAAAACAAAATTAATAAACTGATGTATAAAATAGAAATGAAAAGATTACTTGCCGTTTATCATTGTATTTCAAGAATATTTGTCGTTTTTGATACTCTATGATTATGTTTCTATTATATATTTTGATTATCTGAATAGTTCAACATTTTCAAAGAATATGGTATTTATAATTTTAGTATTCTTCTATATTAAGAAACATTTTGCTTTAGTCTCATTTTATTTTCGTATTGGTTTGGAATCAATTCACAACACATGCGAAGACTTAGATTCATCCATTTTTCATACACATTTTTCAAATCCGTGTCTACTTGATACCAAGACAGTCTTTCTCTAATCAATATAAAGCATATATATATATATATATATATATATATATATATATATATATATATATATAGATAAATGTGCTGCACACTTTCCTGCATTTTACTTGAGTCTTCTATCAAGTTTTAAATGGCCTTTAGACTTTTGAGTAAATAATATTTTAAGCAATAACGCTAATTAGATGTTAATTAAGAATGTTGCATAATGTCCCGTATCTACTATGGTTAGTTAGTCATGTTTTTAATTTTTTGAGCAAATAATAATATATTGAAATGTATATATGCTTCACTTATAAACTTAATGCTTTTTATATAGAAGAAAGAAAAGAAAACATTTCAAAAATCTCTCTTGTAAAACTATAACTAGACCCCATATATATCCAGATATCAATACTACGATGATAGCAATGCTCAATAAATTTCCGCATGTGTCTTTGTATTTTCTTGTCGTAAGAGATAGCTTCTTCATTATTACGAAGAGTTTGATCTACGCCATAAGAAATTAAAAACTCAGTATCCAGTTATCTACGTAAATATAAACCTAAAACTCAAAATCTATTACATTATGAATTTGTTGTCGCCATTACATTTATGATATATGTATATTATATAAATTCGCCAAAATCTACGCGATTGACAGTTAGGTAATTTTTTATAAAGGTTAGTAACTTTTCCTATAAAAGTAATCGCAGAAATATATTTTTACAGTGATATCCCTTTTTCTGAACAACTTTTGACAGTGATTTTATCATTATACTTTTGGCATATTGTGTCCGCTTTTTATAGTAATGTTTAAATTGTGTACGTGAATCCGAAAATACTATCCCACTTCAAATTAAAAAATTAATACTAAACTTAAAACAGTATGAACAAGAATTGATAGCAAGAAATTAATAATGAAAACAAATTTGACTTTAAGTTACAAAAAAAAAAAAAAAAATTTGACCAGAGGACATAGCTCGTGCGAGACTAACCATGGTTAAGTTTGAAGTGTGTCTGTGTTTATATATTGTAGGTCAATATTAGGACTCTCCTTGTCAATAGTTATTACGTGTGTCTCCATTTATGTTCATCCAGTAATATTTGCATGTCACAAGGGCAATATCGTCATCATAAAATAAGCCAAATGGATCTGAAATCTGGTCTTGAATGTCTTCCTAGTTGTTCAGATTTGGTTTTGCATGTAAACTCCTCATGTTTGACCATTCGTTTTGATGCGTGCCAAATGAAGATTGTTAATATATTTTAATAAGTATAATTTATAGTTTTCTACGTCAAGTTCAGATTATATACTCCTTTAGACTTTGATAATGTCAAGTTAAATTAATACTCCGTAGATTAAAGGAACAATTGCCAATTTATTACGACAGCTTTGATATAAACTCTTCTCAGCATTAACATTGTACTCGCAAACTGAGCATGTTTAGGTAAAAATATTCATGAAGTTTTGTAAAATCTCTTAACGACATGAAGATTAATATTGTAGGATACCCATCATTATAGAAACAATCGCCAGTTCGTCAAGTTCAGGCTATCTACTAACACATGCACTGTAAGTAATAAAAGTCACAGTCATGAGTTATTTTGAGTTCTGTAAGTAACTAAAGTCTTAAGACAATCTCTAACGAGGAATTTTTATGACGAAATTATTAGCGGAATATAAAACTCCGTCTCTTAACTAAAAAAGTTAAGAACCGATTATTAATTTTTTTAGTCAAAAATTAAGAGACTGGTTCTTGTATTCCACTAAGAACCCACCGTATATAAGAACCTCCAATAGAGATGCTCTAAGTCCGTAACTAGTCTTGCAAGTGTACAAGTGTATTGTATCTTTTGAGGGTGTTAAACCACAGAGAAAAGAATTTATATGGACCAATATGAAATAAAATTGTTGTTATAAAGTGGTAATAAAATCTAAAATTGTAGAGATAGTAGACGACGCACGCTTCAAGCTTTTGTAAGGGGTTTTCCCACAGTTATGGAGTTAATTTGAAAAGAAAGATGATAAAGAGAGAGGAAAGCTCAAACAACAAAGAGAGTAAAAGTTGTAAAGCGACCTTTTAAGGAGGAGACATATAAAGACATGAACTGGGATCAGACACAAACAGTAGTCGTTATAGACATTGACTCTCTCTTGTCCTTTTCTTTCACACCTTTTGTCTTCACAAAATATATATATTTTTAAACAATTTATCCTTTCTTTAATTTTATAAATAGATAATGCTATTTCACTCGAAACATATAGTCGAATATATTATTAGCAGGTCTTTTTCAAATTTACTTTGAAACTATTAATTCTGTGTCACTAGACCCGTTTAGTTAAGCTTTTTTTTTTAGTTTGACTCATACGGCCCAATTAATATGGGCCTGAACATGCTATCTCTGGATCATTGGACATGCTATTCTTGAAAGATGTCCATCGCCTTAACAGACGTTGTTACATGTCAAGTTCTTAACAGATTCAACTACTTTAACACTTGAACACTTTTGACTTGAGATAACTTTTGAAAAGGATTAAAAACACATGGGAACTCTCCATCAATAATACATCATCATCCTCGCTGATGATTCCAAGATGAAAAGGTTACAAATGTAAGCATATAATAATCTATAGCTAACTCAATCACAATCTCTTTCAAGCATGGTGGTGATCATCATGACTGTGACTACTCTCTCTGCTGTTACAATTAGACTTGCAAGCCTCCTCTGTTTTCACCTCACAACAGGTCTCTTCTTTATCTTTCTTAGAACTTTCACAGCAACTCGTCTCACAACAATGCCCATCACTCTTCACTTCCAAGCTACCTACCACAGGATCAACATGCCTTGCGCAACAAACTTTCACCTCTTCTTCCAGATTAACTAAGGTTGAAGAAGCATCATTTAGTATTGAGCCAGTTCCAAGCTGAGTCTTGTTACCGCTACCACAACACCCTGAGTCACAGCTCTTCTTCACAAACTCTACATTATCATTCTCTTTCTTGTCACAACAACCAGAGTGACCATGACGTGGTTTCATCACTTTCTCTTGACTCTTCTTTCCACAACAGCTTGACTTGCAAACCTTATCATCACTTCTCTTTGGTAATAACCCTGCTTCCATGTCTCTAGCAACATCACCTTCATGTTTCTCCACATTCAAGACACAAGGAGAAGACCTATAACATTTGTTGCCACCCTTTTGTTTATCCCTAAGCAACAACATGCTATTGAGTATCACAAGCAGACAAGTCCCCACATCTGCAAGAACAGCTGCCCAAATCAACGGGTAACCAGCAAATGCCAAACCAAGAATTGCTCCTTTCATAGTGATGGACAAAACCACATTCTCCACCACTTTCCTTTTAGCTCTCCGTGCAAGCCTTATCGCTTGTGGTATTCTCCTGATGTCATTAGACATCAAAACTATATTACCAGTCTCTGTTGCAAGAGCTGAGCCTGAGATACCCATTGAGATACCAATATCAGCTGTAGCCAAAGCTGGTGCATCATTTAAACCGTCTCCCACCATAGCCGTTGGACCATCTCTCTTGAACTCTTTGATGATTTCAGATTTGCCTTCTGGAAGAAGTTCTGCATGAACTATATCTATAGCATTCCCTATCTGTTGTTCAACATAAACATTTCAAGTTTTCATCAGTGAAGCTTAGTTTCAAGAGAAGTATTAAACTACTCAAAAGACTGATTCTCACTTGTTCTTGAGCATGCATTGCAGCAGCTTGGTTATCTCCTGTAAGCATTGCAGTCTTGATCCTCAAAGATTTCAGTTCTTTCATAGCTTGAGCTACACCTGATCTACAAGCATCTGAGAGATTGAAGCTACCAGCAAGTGTTTCTCCAACATAAACATATCCAACAGTCTTTCCTCCTTTAGTATCAACATCAGTATCTGGAACTATGTAGATACATACACACACCAAAGCAAAGAACTATCAGAGTGTTAAATAAATAAATAAACATGCATTCATTTGATATGTGTACCTGATGAACACTTGGCTCTGGAGGCAATCCTTTTGTTACCAATATAGACTTCTTTGCCATCTATCTTTCCGTAGATACCTTCTCCTGGAAAGTTCTGATAGTCTTCAACCGCTTCAGGCTTAGGTTCAACAGAGACAGATTTTGCATAGTCCACAAGTGTAGCAGCCATTGGATGGCTTGACTTGCTCTCCACGCTTGATACCCTAACAGAAGTCACATAGCAAAACACTCAGAAAAACCTTAAGTGTCTCACTAAAGTAGTTAAAAGGACAGAATAGATGTTTCACCAGTAAAGCAAGCTCTGCAAGCTTGTATCTCTGGAAAGTGACTTAAAATCCATGACTATGAACTCGCCTCTAGTGATGGTCCCAGTTTTGTCAAAAGCAACGGTTTTGATCTTGGCTAAGGTCTCAAGATAATCAGCTCCTTTGATCAGAAGTCCTGATGTGGCTGCCTTAGTTAGGGCACAGAAAGTGGCTACTGGTGTTGAGAGAATAAGCCCACAAGGACAAGCACTTACTAACACAACTAGTGCTAAGTGTAGCCAATGTTTAAGGTTGTGAACCTTCAATGCGTATGGGATAACCACAAAACAGAGTGATATTATGATGATGGCTGCATAAAAGGTAATAGAAGATGAGGTCTCAATCACACTACACAACTCAAGAACACAAAGAACAAGAACCAGTTGCTGGTTCTGTTACTAACCTGGAGTATAGTACTTAGAACATTGGTCTATAAATCTCTGAGTTTCGGTTTTGCTGTTCTGAGCTTCTTCCACTAACTTAGCCATCTTTGCAACCACACAATCCTCAGCTAGAGAAGTTGTTTTCACAGTTATGTAACCTTCAAAAGTTTCATGAGAAAGATCAGACCTATGAAACTTTTCATACAAAAAAAATGTGGAAACCTTAAGCCTTTATATACCATTAAGATTGATGGTTCCAGCCCAAACTATTGAATCTCTCAGTTTAGGCACAGGGAAGGCTTCACCGGTCAAGGTTTTCTCATCAACCTCACAGTTACCATCCACAACAACTCCATCAATAGGTATGGTTTCACCAGCTTTGACAGCTATAACAGTATTGATCTTTAGCTCATCCACTTCAACTTCTTCTCCAGTCTCTGCAATCACTGCCTTCTGTGGAGCTAAACTCATCAGAGACTGCATCACCGCACTTGCCTGAAACCAAACACTTGATCAAATCACAGTATCTTTGGTAACTTGCGTAGCAAGAAATGGAAAAAATGGTGGAAGCAAAAACCTTATAGCTAGCCCTAGATTGGAGCCATTCAGCGATTGTGAATAAGAATACAACTGCTGCAGCTTCTGTATAGTCTTGCATACCAAGTGTTGCTCCCACTGTTTGTAACAATGTAAAACTATTTAGCTTAACTCAGGGCCGCTCAGCATTTTTTATGAATTCTAATTTTTGACTCTTAAATTTTATATTTATTATAATTTAATATCTTTTTACAAAAATTATTATAAATGTTATGATGAAAACAAAAAAAAATATTTTTTAAAGTATAAGTTCTAATATTTTCTTATAAATATATATATATATATATATATATATATATATATATTATATATATATATATCTAAAAAGATATCAGTCTTGCATACCAGGTGTTGCTCCCATTGTTTGTAATAATGTAAAAGTATTTAGCTTCAACTCAGAGCCGCTCAACATTTCTATATGCTCTAATTTTCGTTCTAAATGTTAATATTAATTTAAAGTTTAAACTTTTTTTACAAAATTTATTACAAGTTTTGTGATGGAAATAAACAATAAGTATATTTATTTATTTATTTACTGATTTTTTAGTATAAATTTTAATATCTTTTTATAAAGATATATAAAATCGGACCAGGGTCGGTTTGTTAGCCGGTCTGGTTTAACGTAGAAAAATAGAAGACAAAAGACACGATAATATTACCGGTTATTATAACAAGAACGTTGATGTCGATTCTAAACCTTGCAATGGATGCTATTGATTTGGCTAGTATTGGATATATTCCTGCGACAACGGCTGCGACGGCGAGCCAACGGAACGGAGAGTAAAGATATTTGAAGAATGAAAGGAGGAGAAGTATGCCGGAAACCACCGCGAATGGATTTGGCCATTTATTTTTAAAGTTTGTTTCTCCGGTCACCCTCACATTGGCTTCTAGCCTCGCTTGGTTGAGTGCTTTCACTGCAAACCACCATAATTATGTAATAAGTTGATACACATTAATATTAATATTTGTTGACCGACAAATATTCTATTGGCTTCTGATAATGAGTCAATGAGAAAATATAAATTTGAAAATTTATAAAGGAAAATATATGAATGATAATCATGTGAAAGGTGCCTTACGTAATAAGTCACGATGTTATTACATACTCCTTCCCTTTCAAATTAGATGTCATTTTAGAATAATATTTCCGTTTCAAAATAAGTGTATAATTTTAATGAAAAATTTATTAATTTTTAAATATCATTTGATTATTTTCATTGGTTGAAATGTGGTTATGTGTATAGATAAATGTGTTTTTATTTTAAAAACATACAAAATTAATTATTTTTTAATCTATATGCAAAAATCTAAAATGATAACTAAAATGACATTGAGAGAATATCTAGTTATCAAGTCCTTACAAGATCATTGACTATTTTGATTTGTTACCTAAACTTCCTAGCATGTATATGGTTGTATGGTAACAAATTACAAAAGTTATATGGTAGTGCATGTTTGTGAGGGTCAATGAGTCTAAACTATCCCATTGAATTTCAAGTGTAGTCCTTCGTAGATATCACTATTAAATATTTGAAAGTGACGTTTTTGTGTGGATGTGACATTTATTATATCAACCACCACATAGACAAAATATATTAATTTTTTTTGGAAGGGAAAGCGTTACCAATATGTAACTGGGAGATGATGAGACTATCATGGACGACGATGACGGTCCTTGACGGCACGATGACGGAATATTCCTTGATTCCGTCGAGAGATTTGAGAATGTTCTCAATCAGAGGAACCTCCGATGTACAGCAGATTCCAAGAACGTCGAAGTAACTCTTAGTCAACTTCTTTTCTTTCTTGGACGTCATTTTTTTCTTACAAATCTGCGAAAACACGAAAACTGTGAGTAGATTACTTGTGGGTTTGATAACGTTGCAGGTAATGTAAGAGAGATGCCAATAACGTTTTTGTGGGAAATGCACGTAACGTGTGTCATATGTCTATAATAACAAGATATTTGATAACGTTGTGTCGCTAGGTTCACTCTACACTTGGCGAAAAAGAGAAATGAGTTTTGAGTTCTCTCACAAAAAAAAATCTAACATTTCAGGGAAAAAAAGCATAGAGATCATTGAGATGTATGTTAAGAAGACAGGAGAAGAAGAATTACCGGAGGAGGTAGCAGAGGGACAGAGAACAATGATAGGACCGGTTAGGCTTGGTTCGATCCGGTTTATATAGTTTGTTTCTTAGTCAAAGTGAGGAGATTTTTTTTTTAATGTAGAGCTGACAATGATTTTAAAGGGTGAAAGAAGATGAGAGTGGTGGTTCCTTTATATAGGAAAATGTGTTAGAAAGAGGACTAAAGATCATTGGTGGGTTAACTATTTGAATATATTATGTTAAAAATGTAAATTCCTTTGTTTTATGTGTTCTTCAAAATTAATATTTGTTGTGTAAAGAATCTTTGAATATATTATGTTAAAAATGTAAATTCCTTTGTTTTATGTTGACATTAATGTATCATAAGAATCCTCGAATATATTATGACAATAATGTAAATTCCTTAGTACTGTGGTAGGCTGCTTCTTTCTGATTCCTTTTTTTTTTTGAACTATTCTCTCAAATCTCAACGTTTTTTAATCATGTCATCTCAAATCTCGATGTTCTATTTTTATTTCGCAATTTCATTATTAATTTTGGATGTATACTAGAAAAATGAATTATTGTTGATTTTGGTAAAACATTAAAGGATTGATATTTGTAATCCCGCATTATTTTCCGCCAAAACTAAAATATAAATTGGTTTAAATATTTTTTTTAATTAGCAGTAGTAGTAACCTATTTATTTGCAACTTGTTGACTGGTATAAGTCATGTATGTTAAGTTGATATATTGATGTTTCATCTGACCACATAATCATTTCTTAATACAATTGCATATCAAAATTTAATTTTATCTCTTTATTGACCAACATCACGAAGGTAGGCATACGTTATACGATACACCTAAAACTATTTTGTCAGCCTTAACAGAAATATAAAATATAAATGTATTTTTCTTAGGGAAAGATGGTGTACTACAAATTATAGTGGAGAATCCAAAGTACAATGTCACTGAATGGAAATTCATTTGTGATTCCTCATTTCAAAATTTTCCCAGTTTTTTTATAATGCGATAGATCCTCTCAAAGAGACTAAATGTGAGTTTTGTAGAATGTAGATAACAAAATACTATAACCAATTTTCAAAAAAAAATAAAAATACTATAACCAAAAATATGTTAGTTGCTATTCTAATGTGAGTGCGCGTTATTACTGTGCATCACTGCTATGAATTAATGGCTAGCTATGCTATATCTTCCTACATGCTTGGCTTTATATCCTTTAATGGCCTAGGCTTGAGACCAGACCTATATATGATCACCTGCCATTTATTAACCACTAGGCGCGTCCTGCGCGGAATGTGAGATCGAATAGAAAATTTAACTTTTAATATATATGTATTAAATGTAAAAATAATAGTCACACATATTATATGTTATATATTGAAAGATATAAAGAAATGGACAAAACTTAGGTTCACCCCCTGTGGTGAACCTTTAAATTCACCCCACCCCTTATGACTAATAAAATTACCATGTAAGATTAATTAAAAAGGATATTAAAAATTTTTAAAAAGGAAAATAGGTTTAAAAAAAAGGAACAAATGATTATAAAGCCGTCGTTAGACGTGATCTGATTTCTTCATCCACCGGCTTTTTCTTCATCCCTTGCATAGACTCCCAAATAAGAATACAAAAGTTTGTCAAGTTTGAGTCTCCAATTCTGTGTTTTCAAATTTTGATTTAACCTCCTCTAAACCAAATCAAATTGTTCATCCATGAATTTTATTTCTTCCTGCTACTTGAATATAAGAAGAGTAGCAAGGAACAAACTACAAAGAAGGAAGAAGAAGAAGAAACTTGAAACGCAAGAAACAAAATAGTGAAAAAGAAGCATGAATAACAAGGAGAAAGAAAGTAAAAGAAAACTTGGGTTGTAACAAGAAAAGTTAGGTTGTGTTGCTGTAAGAGAATTGAAAAATTCTAATAAACAAGTAGTTAGAGAAAGTAACAGTGGAGACACACAAAGATTACTCTCTCTCTACAAGAACAAGAGAACAAATGAGGGAGAGTGTGTGCTTCGGTAATAATGAAACACAAGACAAATAAAGTGTGAGAACAAAAAACAGAGAGTGAGTGAACAAGAGAAGTAAAGATGATGGAGAGGCTGGCCGAGAGTAGTTGAGTGGAAAGGTCATTGTTGTCTCCCAAACAAATGCTAATTTCGTGAGAGGTCAGTTTGATCTCCTGAAGACGATTCAGACCGAGACTTGGATTGCAAGGTTTAAGAAAAGTAGCATCAAGAGCTAGAGCGTAAGTAGCGGAACGCTTGCAACGTTTACACTTAGAAATCATCACCCTCTCTTGTTTGTGGCCTCTCTAAGCTAAATCTTCTGTAATAAAACTTGTGGTTTAAGCTAATAACAATGTGATCACGAGATATATAACACACAACAATTAGGTGGTTAATTATGTTTCTCCAATCCATTGACGTGATTATAATTCGAACCTGTAAGTCACAGCTATGGATTATTTGGGAGTCTCTGCAGGGGATGAAGAAGAAGCCGATGGATGAAGAAGATGAAGAAATCAGATCACGTCTAACGGCGGCGTTATAATTGTTTGTTCCTTTTTTTTCAACCTGTTTTTTTTTTTTAATTTTAATATCCTTTTTAATTAATCTTACATGGCAATTTCATTGGTCATCAGGAGTGGGGTGAATTTAAAGGTTCACCACAGGGGGTGAACCTGAACCTAAGTTTTGTCCTAAAGAAATTGTGTATATATAAAGTAAACTCAAAATTTCAATTTTTTTTATTTGTGTTATTCCTAAGCTGTAACTAAAATATAGTTTGTTGGAATAAATCTATAAGCGTAAACAAAGACTTATATAAAACTAATTATGAATTTAAGATAAACCTAAACATAGGAAATATAATTATTCTTTTCATAATATAAATTATGAATTTAAGATAAAAAGCATAGAAAATAGAATAATAAAATATTAAAGGAACAAATAATAAGAAATTAACAAAATCTGAAAAAGACTACGCCGATTAGTATCTTCAGAATTTTTCGTTTAATATAATTTATATAGTACAAATATATAGGATTTACAAATATCGAGGAAGCCAAAATATTTCATCGCCATAATACAATCACAAAATCCCTAAATTTTTGATTGTCTTTGACAGAGGTTTAGGGTTCGAAACCATATATCATGAAGAACGGGATGCAGAATTAAATAAATTAGTGAATTGAATACATATTTTGGTGAATATTATGAATTGATTCCAGACTTGATTGATACCTTTGTAAAATCAATCAATGAATTGAATACATATTTTGGAAAGAAATACCTAATCAAAGATTATGAATTGTTTACGGAAATTTTCATATATTTTCCTTCATTACTGTTGATTTTAATTGCTATTCTAACTAAGACCAATAATTTTGAACATATATGTAGTTTCACATATTGCAGTGTAGTATTTTGTATTAGGTACATGACTTTTTCATTAGTTTACGTCTCACATCGTAAAAGATTCTTTATGTAGAGATTGATCATGATCTTTGAAGTATTAAAATATTAACAAACACAAATTGTTTTAAAAAAATTTCTTACTTTAATATTGTTCAATTCATAGCTTTGTTATAAATATTTTTACATGAATCATATCAAATGTTTTAAATGTTCCTTATGTTATTTTTTTCTTCTATCCTATTAAGAATTAAAATAATAAACTAATCAATTTCATTTAACAATTGAATTTATACGATTATTATATACCTAAAAACATAGTTTTTGTATATCATAATGGAATACGTATTATATTATAATTATCATATAAATTTGTGGAGTAGAAAATAAATAATAAAATATATCAAAATGATAGGGTTATTCGCGTCAAAACAATTATATGGTTCAGTAGGTTAAGAAAACAAATATTTTTTCAGTTAGTTTGTTTAAAATAAATATTTATTTACCTTGACAAAAAATGATGTATCAGAAATATTGTAAATTTAAACAAACGATGTATAAAAATATAGTTTACGCAAAATGTGATTGTATCTTTGACTGATTTGATGTTTTGAATAAATCATCATTCCAAATGTGATGTATTTAATTATGACTGAGAATCTATTTACTAATTTATAGCAATGAAAATCAAAATTTATGACTGACTGAAACTATTCTGTATTTTAGGAAACAATATAATACATTTGACAATGTACTAATTCTCTTAATTATGTATTTTGATATGCATACACACAGAAGTTATGTGCATACAACATATTACATTTTTTTTTATTCAGTCTTATAATTTGTTTTTTTTAAAACTAATCAATTAATTTTATATAACAGTTGAATTTATACGATTATTATATACCTAATAAAAACATGGATATTTTTGTATACGAATATGAAAAATGATATGGTTCTTTTATCATTTATGAAAATTTATAAAATATTCAAAGCCATGGTCATTAATTTAAGTGATTCATTATTTGTTTCCAAATATTTTAAAAATTAGATGATCAATCACAAAAATAGGATTATTGTTGGGTCCAAATATGGCCCGTCGGCTGAAGTTAGCGAACTAGTTAAACCAAGTCCAATAATGGGTCGAATATGGGCTATTACATCAAAGAACAATACAGCTCACCTAAGGAAGGAAGCTGCTCTCGAAAAAGAGGTCACGAGAAGGAGGTCACGGAGAAGAGGTCCGGATTCTTTCGTAGGGACCTGACGAAACAGCCTAGGAAACGGAGATAGAAACGTGCAAGACTTAGTCAAGGGGAAGCTGTTGCAAATCCCGCAACTCACGGAGATAATCATGGAGGTTTCGTCGGAAGAAGTTGAACGTGACCTAGTGCTATATAAAGAAGAGAAGAGATCAGAGAGAGGGATTGGACTCATTGAAGAGAGAGAGACTCCAATACACTTTGTTCTTAGTCATTCTCTATAAATCATTGTTCTTTCTATTCAGATCGTCAAGATCAT